TGTATGATATGACTCAATAAAATGTTACACAACCATATCCAGGTTAACTTATGGAATTCCAGTGTGATGACACTATAATAACTTCCTTAAATGACCCTACCTGACCTTAGCTCTTTTGAAGATATCTTTACAGCTTACTAAATACGTAATGTTGCATTGATACAATTATGGTATTATACACTCAAAAAATGACAAACAATAGGAACGAATGCTTGTGATGAGGTTCAGAGACATTGTATGTTTATCTGGGTTTTTGCTGACTGTAGAGGGGTTCAGAGATATTGTATGTTTGTCTGGGTTTTTGCTGACTGTAGATAGGTTCAGAGACATTGTATTTTTGTGTATTTGCTGACTGTAGAGAGGTTCAGAGATATTGTATGTTTGTCTGGGTATTTGCGGACTGTAGAGAGGTTCAGAGACATTGTATGTTTGTCTGGGTATTTGCGGACTGTAGATAGGTTCAGAGACATTGTATGTTTGTCTGGGTTTTTGCTGACTGTAGAGGGGTTCAGAGACATTGTATGTTTGTGTATTTGCTGACTGTAGAGAGGTTCAGAGACATCGTATGTTTGTCTGGGTATTTGCTGACTGTAGAGAGGTTCAGAGACATTGTATGTTTGTCTGGGTATTTGCGGACTGTAGATAGGTTCAGAGACATTGTATGTTTGTCTGGGTTTTTGCTGACTGTAGAGGGGTTCAGAGACATTGTATGTTTGTCTGGGTATTTGCGGACTGTAGAGAGGTTCAGAGACACTGTCTCTGTATTTGTGTATTTGCTGACTGTAGAGAGTTTCAGAGACATTGTATGTTTGTCTGGGTATTTGCTGACTGTAGAGAGGTTCAGAGACATTGTATGTTTGTCTGGGTATTTGCTGACTGTAGAGAGGTTCAGAGACACTGTCTCTGTATTTGTGTATTTGCTGACTGTAGAGAGGTTCAGAGATATTGTATGTTTGTCTGGGTATTTGCGGACTGTAGATAGGTTCAGAGACATTGTATGTTTGTCTGGGTTTTTGCTGACTGTAGAGGGGTTCAGAGACATTGTATGTTTGTGTATTTGCTGACTGTAGAGAGGTTCAGAGACACTGTATGTTTGTCTGGGTATTTGCGGACTGTAGATAGGTTCAGAGACATTGTATGTTTGTCTGGGTTTTTGCTGACTGTAGAGAGGTTCAGAGACATTGTATGTTTGTCTGGGTATTTGCTGACTGTAGAGAGGTTCAGAGACATTGTATGTTTGTCTGGGTATTTGCGGACTGTAGAGATGTTCAGAGACACTGTCTCTGTATTTGTGTATTTGCTGACTGTAGAGAGTTTCAGAGACATTGTATGTTTGTCTGGGTATTTGCGGACTGTAGAGAGGTTCAGAGACACTGTCTCTGTATTTGTGTATTTGCTGACTGTAGAGAGTTTCAGAGACATTGTATGTTTGTCTGGGTATTTGCGGACTGTAGATAGGTTCATAGACATTGTATGTTTGTCTGGGTTTTTGCGGACTGTAGAGAGGTTCAGAGACACTGTCTCTGTATTTGTGTATTTGCTGACTGTAGAGAGTTTCAGAGACATTGTATGTTTGTCTGGGTATTTGCTGACTGTAGAGAGGTTTAGAGACATTGTATGTTTATCTGAGTATTTGCTGACTGTAGAAAGGTTTAGAGACATTGTATGTTTGTCTGGGTATTTGCTGACTGTAGAGAGGTTCAGAGACATTGTATGTTTGTCTGAGTATTTGCTGACTGTAGAGAGGTTCAGAGACATTGTCTGTGTATTTGTGTATTTGCTGACTGTAGAGAGGTTCAGAGATATTGTATGTTTGTCTGGGTATTTGCTGACTGTAGAGAGGTTTAGAGACATTGTATGTTTGTGTATTTGCTGACTGTAGAGAGGTTCAGAGATATTTTATTTCTATCTTGGTATTCCTGCTGGCTATGTTCCTGTTTCCCTTTAACTGTTTCCTAGTATCTACATCACCTTATGACCAATTGGAAGAATTTCATGAATGCTATTAGCACTGATATATATATATATATCTTCATTGTTGTTTTTTCTTTTAATGATGAGAAAACCTCAGTTTCAAGAGTTTGTATTAGTCAGAGCTGATCTTAGAAACAATTTCTGAGTTAGGGGGAAACCAGGCCTACATCCAATGTATATGCACCAATTAAAACCTTGTCTGTCTGACAGGTGTTGCAAAAATGGAATTCGTCTCGTCAAATTATCTTAAACATTAGAACTTTTCTTCTGGTTTTATTTTATAACTAATGTCTAGAAAAGTTTTTCATACATATAAAGTTGATATAGGACCTGATATCTCAAAAGAAACCAGAAGTAAAGTGATAGAGTAATACAGAAAAGTTATTAATTGATAATACCTTCTATAATTCATTTTATCATTGAACCAGATTTGAAGGTTGTGAACTTTTATCTCATAATTTTACAATATGATTAACATTTTTCTTTTCACATTTGCAAATTAGAATAAATTGCTGCTGATAGCAAGACAACCTTATCTCCATCATTAAATATTACGCATGCATGTATATCACACCAGATAAGTTACTCATGTCTATTACTACATGTAATTGTATCGAAGAATTAATAGTGTAGAGAGAATTAAGATTAACATTACAGTATGTTTGATCATGACAAATCTACAATAAGTTGTATGGTATCTTGAAACTAACCTTCATATCAAAATTGCTCCATACCAATATTTTGTGAAAATAAAGTGAGAAAAATTCTTTGCCGGTATATTTAATTTGATTAGTCCTGGATAAAAAGATGGAAATATAAATAAGAAGGAGGTGTGGTCAATCACAACAAACTTAGGATCTCATTAGGTTCTACTATCCTTCAATCGTCCTGCATACCTTGGGGTATCCAAGCGAGGCATTACAGAACCTACGACACCTACACAAGAAGGACGGCATGGACTCTACACCCCTAGTGAAGTCTGAATAAAGTATATAAAATGGATTAGATAGGACTTTACTCTAATTTTACATATTTCTCATCTTAAACTTTATTTACATTTCAATCCTAGTTAGTAAAATGAAAAACAAATCTGTCAAAAGTAGAACTTTCATAAAGTAAAAACTTGATGGCTTGATGTGAGAAGTTCACTGTATTCTGTAATTGTTAACGGATAACATTGGTGGTAAGAACCGTACTGATAGATCCAATAGGTCAATTTTTAATAGCTAGATATACAAGTTTATATCTATTGTTGAATTTATACTATGATGAGTGTAATTAAAATGTACTAGAATTCAGTGCATATTGTAGGCCAGCTGACAGATGTAATTAATATAGTGAGTAGGGGGAGTACTACTGAAGAATTGTGTAGGTCTGCAGGTGAACCCTGTAACATGTACCTACGCGTATACATAGGGTTTACAGATATCTATTTACATCAGATCTGGAGTGACAGATGAGAGAAGATGAAGCAGGAACTAGCTGGCAGCTGGAGACAGACATCATGTAGTATCATTTACCCTGATACATGACTTAGTATACAGCCAGCTTTCTATTTTGGTCGTGCTCATGAAAGATGATTAATCCGTCTTAAAAAAAAAAAAACACATTCAATAAATGGTGACCATTGACTCTAAGAAATTGTTTCATATTTTTTCTGAAACATATGTCTGTAACCAGCACGGAGTATACAAGTAGAACTAGGAGACATATTCTGTCTGTATATTTCATATCAAGTATGAATCACAGGTTGATGGTATAACTACATAGATTTTTGTCTTTATTTAACTACTGTAAATTTATATGTACATCAATGATTCAGACGCTCAATTTTCTGTGCATTATCATTGATAAATAAGTGATAAATTCAGGTGTCAGTGATGATTGTACATACTTACAATTAACACAATCATGATATTTAAATACTGAAGCAAATTATAGGTAATTATCAAGGCACCAGAACCCCTAAGATATATTAGTCTACAGTATTCTCTGGAGGTACTACAGACATTATATTCTTACTTCGTTTGAATGACTTTTATATAGATTGTAGTTAATACATTGTGAACTTTACATGATCAAATTGCTGTAATAATTATGATATCACAGTAAAAACTATTTTCCTGATGTTTTTGCCCACTTACATATGACCTGCTACAGACCTATATTTTGTCAGGTAAAAGTCTATTTTATAAATATTTCCAAGTTTGACGTGACCATGGCATGGCCAGATCTATATTCCAGACACAGCTAATACCCACAGTACCCACACCATCTTCGGTAATAATGTTTCTTCGTTTTGTGTAAATATTTTATAAAAGCCTATACAAGTTAGTATATACTTGATGATGAATTTCCATGGTAACCTCCCCCACCAGGTTGGGGAGTGGGGCTGATAATGTCTGTGATGAAGAATGTGTTTTGTGGGGGAGATACATCAGGAATACACATTGGGCATACCTTAAGATGTGGCCTGAACCTTTATCAGACTATTGAATCAAAATGTTGACTGGTCCATTAGCTGTCTAAAGGATGGCATATACACAGAATGAGTTGAAGTAAAAAATGGACTGGTCACTTACCTGTCTAAAGGGACCATATTTACACAGGGTCAGCAGCTGTGTGAAGCAATATGGATTGGACCCTTTTTACATGTCTTCAGAAATCTAGAGTGAATTGATTTTCATAATTTGTGAATGGATTCAGTACCTGTCTGCAGTAAACATGATTACATCTGTATCATGCAGGCCTGTATATTATACTATGTATTCCGACTGGTTTAGTTCCTGTCGACACAGAATCTTTGTCTCAGAATAATGATAATTGTGAACTGGTTACTTTCCTGTCTGAGTGATCAGATATTATTATCTAACACTTAAGGTCAATAATGTACGCTGTTGATAGGAAAGGACAACAAAAGAATCTTACCATCATAGCATGATTAAAATGTCTATTTGGTTCAGTCCATTTTTTAGTGTAGGCCCTTGGGATGGTAGCCCAGACTCTGTACCTATACTATGTATGACTCAGGCAGTCTAAATTAGGTGGTAGCTAGTAAAGAAAGGGTTTCCTTTCTATTTCGCTGTTTACATCAGTATAATACCACCTGTGGAGGGTGAGAAAGTTGGAGACTTACCACCATGTGGATGTACCCCTGGAACCAGGCCTTGTAGACAACTCTCCCTTTTGGAAATCCTTGGAAATATATATTGTCAAGAGTGTGTACCCTGTATATCTATACTGGACCATGCCTTCAGGTTAGTGTGGTGTTACCATTACTGTCTAAACTCAGTCTTTTAGAAATTAAATTTAACAAGATAAAGAAGGTTGGGATATTATAGGTGAATCTTGTTTGTTGTCATCAGAAGGTTAAATAGATAGACAATCCTTGGATGATGATTTACAGTTGCTGCTTGTTTTGGCTTAATGTCTGACAGGAGTATGATGGAGGATATTGTTGCATCTCTGTAGACACAGCATGTCGTATTATAGGCCTGAAGAGTGCATGTGCCATTCTTTGTATTTTCCACCTGGATTGGTTTCATATCAATTGTATACCCTATATGGTAATAGTTTATTGATATTTATATCAGGCAGAAGTTCCACATCATTACAAAAGACAAATAAAATTCTTAATTACAAAATACAGATAAAATTCTTGTTGAGTGTGTAAAGCATTTTATAAATGGATAATTTCAGCAAATGCTGAATGACGCTTTGTATATTGTTACCTGTGTAACACTGTATATATGGTTATATACAATGCATTTATTAATTCTTAATATTATGATTATGAATTGAAATACTGCACCAGTTAAGATTTCATTTTCAAATGATTTTTTTTTAATGTTTAGAGGTATCACAAAATCCACTAGATCTTACAGAGATTTTCTCTCAAGAGTCAGAGAAATCTTTCAATATGTGATATAGATTACAATATTTGAGGTAGGGGTCAGTTTTTAACAACTGGATGGATCAAGTTCTTTAAACATCCGGTTACTAATTATAGAGACTGATAGCAGATTATAACACATATAGACAATGTCGTTATACTTAATTAACACTGTACTGTGCATATGTTGGACTTAAGAGCGAAAATATTGTTATTTAGGATTTGGTTTTTATGAAAAAGCAACTATTTTTCCGATTTAACAAAATACCAGAATTCTTAAAGCATATTGCATTGCATCTTATTGTGTGATCTCGAGTCGGGATATACTGGAATATTGGCAATTTTGAACACCTTTATGATTTTATAGTAAAAACTGTTAATGTCTTTGTTGTTTATACCTGTATATTTTGATCCTGCACCTGGTGCTGCAGTTGCCAGAATACACCTGCCACATATATTTTTGCTGTATTCGGCAGTGACGGGAAACATCTGTATATTGGCACATGTGGTAATTAGAATTACTCTCTGAATTTGAAATATATTTGCCAGGGAAGAAAGTCTGGTTAAAAGAATGATAAATAGTCTCTATCGAATGACAGTTATGTCATTGTGGCCAGGGAAACATAACAGCTAAAGGTCAAAAGGACTATTCAATGGGACACTTTAAACTGTTGATAATTAAAGAAGAATTTATTTTTTCATTAAAGCAACTTGTTTTTGGAATATAGGACAGCTAGGTTCTCTAATACATGTAGATAATATAAACATTGAATGGTCTTATTATGGAATGCATAGTCATTTTAAATGACTGTATTTTGTGTCCAAAGTTCATTATATGATAATTGCCTGCAAAGATTTGTCATTTATATTGACCATAAATGTCATGAAACAGTAATTGAACACTTAATGCATTTTTCTAATTATGCTTTGTATTCGATGATTTCCTAAAGGCACTGATGGCTAGTACACTTGTATTATGATTAAGAATGGATATATGTGTAACTGTCTGACAAACAGAAAACATCTCACAATGATAATTATGTATAAAGTGGAATTTGCGGCCACTTCTTGGTTCTTAGTAATGAAATATTAGGTGGAGGGTGTGTCTACTTTGGGAATCTTGTCAAACTTCGTTATTAATACAAAGATGCCAGGCTTAATATAGTCTTTAATTTGCTGATCAATTTTCTAGGTCCTGGCATGCATGGGTTAAAATATTTTTAGATAGGAATTAATATGATAAATCTGACAGAACCATTAAAAGTAACCAATTAGTAATCACTAAAAGACTTACCAGTACATATTTTCCTTAATAAAACAGTTTTGTATAAGGAAAATATTAAAAACAGCTTGTAATAAAAACGTACAGACTTGCTGTTGTGTAGCAGAGTTCATGCGCATGCTCACCGAGGTAATGGCAAAAATTCAATCTTTCAAATTGTTAATCATCAGAGGTAGTGATATGGATAATGTTTCTTGTTATCTCATGCAGAGAAATCGTAACATTTCACGATAACAACATTCCTTAACTCAATGTAACTTACATGACACTAAAGGTTCTTAATATGTAGTTATGTATCTTTGTAAAAGTAACATAGATACATACATGATGTATAATGTTGATACTTTTGTACAGGTGTGTACCTATGTTTATTTGGTTCAGGTGTAAAACTGTGTTACTTTCAAACAGGTGTAAAACTGTGTTACTTTCAAACAGGTGTTTAACTATGCTACTTTTGTACAGGTGTATAACTATTCTACTTTGTACAGGTGTTTAACTTTGTTACTTTTGTACAGGTGTTTAGCTATGTTACTTTTGTACTGGTTTTTAACTATGTTACTTTTGTACATGTGTTTAACTATGTTACTTTTGTACTGGTGTATAACTATGTTACTTTTGTACAGGTGTTTAAACATGCTACTTTTGTACTGGAGTTTAACTATGCCACTTTTGTACAGGTGTTTAAACATGCTACTTTTGTACTGGAGTTTAACTATGCTACTTTTGTACAGGTGTTTAACTATGCTACTTTTGTACAGGTGTTTAACTATGTTACTTTTTACAGTGTATAGCTATGTTACTTTTTACAGTATAGCTATATTACTTTTTTACAGTGTATAGTTATGTTACTTTTGTACAGTGTATGGCTATGTTACTTTTTTACAGTGTATAACTATGTTCCTTTTGTACAGTGTATAGCTATGTTACTTTTGTACAGTGTATAGCTATGTTACTTTTGTACAGTGTATAACTATGTTACTTTTGTACAGTGTATAGCTATGTTACTTTTGTACAGTGTATAGCTATGTTACTTTTGTACAGTGTATAACTATGTTACTTTTGTACAATGTATAGCTATGTTACTTTTTTACAGTGTATAACTATGTTCCTTTTGTACAGTGTATAGCTATGTTACTTTTGTACAGTGTATAACTATGTTACTTTTGTACAGTGTATAGTTATGTTACTTTTGTACAGTGTATAGCTATGTTACTTTTTTTACAGTGTATAACTATGTTACTTTGTTTGAGTCATTTTGCATGTTCTGTTGATCAAATGTCCTGTCTGATTATCTAAACGTAGATAATATAAGTGACTATGTATACAGTTTATATCTAGGGTTTATTTACCTTGATTTTATGTATCACTTGTGCAAGTATAAAAAATCTATAGATTTTATTGATTGTTTCCATTGATTAACTGTCATTATCAGTTGGTGGAAAATGTAACATACAAGGAGTAGGATGTGATGGAAATATTTTTATTTCACTTTTAGATTACCCTGTATGCTTGGTTTAATAGTCTTCCATTTCTCTGGTTTACTATTGTTAACTGTGAGTTTATCTCTTTCCTGTCGTTTTATTTTCATTTCAGTAATAATTACCATAGCTTTAGTGTACATATCTTCCACTAATTCCTGGTCTCTGCTATCAGTATGTATTCATGTTGTATTGAGAATTGTGTCAGGTGTGGAGGTGATTTAAAAAAACTCCCCTTGTATCCAAACATCTAACTTCATCATTGTTATAACCCTGGTAAAATGCTAGCTGCAATATATCGCCCAACTAGTGAGACTAGTAAGCCAGGGCCCCGGGTTCGATACTAAATAATGACCTCTGTTTCATTGATACATAAATCTTAAGGTGATCAGTACGATGGTACATGTATGTTGATAAACAAAAAAGTTGTCATTGATTACAGTTAATTTGAAATAAATTAAATCATAATTTCCTTATAATAAATTTCTATTAAAACTCCTTTTTAAGCCCATTTCTTCCATTATTATCAGCATCTGTATCTAGCATCAAAGTATAGTTGTATCTGAATCACAAACAGAAAATTGAGAACACACCTTTCAGCCAGTCTTAGCTAGGTGTAACATCAAACATAACTTTGTCATTACTTCTATCCTTATAAATGTTTACAGCACAAAGGTCAAGGAGGCTAGAAGAAGTCATTTGGTCCATCTGTGTAGGGCTATACAGAACACTGGCTGCAACAAGTACACCAGAGTTGTTATTTCTCAAAGGTCCATATTTTGATTAGAATCCATCCATATCCTTAATATCTCTTATGTATTTTTATTGATTATATATTTTCCATTTAATAGGTCTTCTCATTCACCAAGCTTTGTATATGCAGGAAAAATTCTCCAATTAAGCTACAGACTATACATATATAGCATGATTTCTCTGTATTCTACAGCTCTGTCAGATTGGAATCACAAGAATTGATTAGTAGTATTGCTTTACCAATCCTATTCCGTGGAGATTAAGTTGTATAGATACATATTGAATTTATCTTAAATTTATACTTTTAAATTGATTTTAGCTGTTTCACTGATTTTACTAACAGGATATTGTATGTGGCAAGTAGACTTTACTGACAGGATATTGTATGTGGCAAGTAGATTTTACTGACAGGATACTGTATGTGGCAAGTAGACTTTACTGACAGGATATTGTATGTGGCAAGTAGATTTTACTGACAGGATATTGTATGTGGCAAGTAGACTTTACTGACAGGATATTGTATGTGGCAAGTAGATTTTACTGACAGGATACTGTATGTGGCAAGTAGACTTTACTGACAGGATATTGTATGTGGCAAGTAGATTTTACTGACAGGATACTGTATGTGGCAAGTAGACTTTACTGACAGGATATTGTATGTGGCAAGTAGATTTTACTGACAGGATATTGTATGTGGCAAGTAGACTTTACTGTCAGGATATTGTATGTGGCAAGTAGATTTTACTGACAGGATACTGTATGTGGCAAGTAGACTTTACTGACAGGATACTGTATGTGGCAAGTAGACTTTACTGACAGGATATTGTATGTGGCAAGTAGATTTTACTGACA